TATTAATAGAGGAACTTTCTAAATTGGTACTTAAGCCGTTCCACATTAACATAATGTTAAAATTACAATTAGAGGTGAGGAAAGAGGAATATAATATCCAAATATGGGTAATAAAATGATTGGTTGCAATCAATGCAAAATCGATATTCATGGTAAAGATAGAACACCATCATGGACTTTATTATCCTAAACAACTACTAATGACGGTACTGTAACTGTAGATGAACCAGTAAATTGGTTGGTTGGAGATGAAATAATCATTACATCCAGCAATTAAGCCTAAAGCGAAGCTGAAGTTAGAAAAATTGTTTCAATTTCTAGTGATAAAAGAACTTTGACTTTGAATGAGACTCTTAATTATATTCATGAAACAGTCTCAGAACATTTTGATGGAGTTGAATTCCCAAGAAAGGTGGAGGTAGGATGTTTGACCAGAAGTATAAGAATCTAAGGTGATTAAATGAATTATCATGGAGTTCATATTTACATTTAAGGAACACAAAATGAAGGCACTGAAGCAAGAATTGAAAATGTAGAAATAGTAAATGGTGGCCAATAAAGATATTTAAATAGATTCCCAATTAATTTCAATAATAATGGAGTAGTTTCAAACTCATATATTAGAAGCAATTCAATTCACAATTCAAATGCTCGTTGCATAGGATTGTAAAGTGTATCACATTTGGAAGTTACAGATAACATTTGCTACAACATTGTTGGCCATGCTATCTACATTTAAAATGGTAATGAAATGTACAACACTTTTGAACACAATCTTGTAGCTGTCGTTAAATCCTCTTGGTAATTATATCAATCAGATGCAACAGCAGCAGCATTCTGGATTACAAATCCTAAAAATACATTTTTCAATAATAGAGTAGGTGGAGCAGAATGGTATGGATTCTATTTAGCATTTAAATCAAACCCTTCTGGTGTTGCATCTACAAGTGATGTTTGTCCAACTGGTGTACCATTGTTGAACTTTACTAATAACGCCGCTCATTCAACAGGAAGAATTGGATTAAGAATTGGAACCTTGATTCCAAAAGTTGCTCCATGTGTTTCTCATAGAAATGATGCATTAGATGATCCATTTAGTGCTAATCCAAGTGTCTAAACTAAATTATCAGGATTTATAACATGGGCAAATGCTTAAGTTGGTGTTTTAGCAGATAATTTAGGAAATGTTTTGATTGAAAACGTATTGATTGCAAGTTCAAAGATTGCTGGTTATCAACAACATAAAGCTAATTTCTCAGCTGAAGGTACCACTATTAGAAATTTTGTTATTGTTGGTTCACAAACCAACACTGGTTTGATTGTGCCTAGAACAAATGGATTTTTGGCTGACACAATCAGATTTGCAAACTTCCCAGGTACATCAACCTTGATTGAATCATGTTCAGCTTGCAATAATTATTTGGTTTGGGTAACAGGAGGAAAAAATACTCACTTTAAAGGTATTAAGATTATAAATTCTGCAAATGCAAGAATTATTCATTGGAACAATTTCAGAAGAGAAATCTTTTGGGATTTAGATGGTACTCTAACTAATATACCAACTGGAGCTTAAATTGTTGCATATAAATTGCATTTGGATGGTTTGAATGGATGTACATATTAAAATACTGTATAATGGGATAATTCTTTGATTTGCGATTCATAATAAACAAAATTAAGAGATGTTGTATTCAATTACCCTACTCCTTATGATTCTCATGTCAATCAAGCTTTAAGAATTTATAGAGTTCCCTCTTTGAATGCTCCATTACCGCTTGAATTAACAAAATATTAATACGAATAATATGTTGGAATTTGGAGTGGAGATATTGCTTACAGTCATGCATCTCAATTTGCTTTGGGATAAACATATAATATAAATTGGTACAACAATTGGTTAAGTCTATCGATCATGTCATCTTAATACATGAGTTCTCAAGAACCTGGTCTTGTATTCAGATTCAACTATACTGTTTAAAGAGAAACTTTTGATGTTTATAGGAACAGAAATCACAAATTCCTTTCAAATTACAGTTAAGTTTCAGAAATTCCAAATCCAAATACTTGTAACAATGGTGACTGGTTTAATGATAGAACTACATCATTCTTTTATATTTGCATCTCTGGCAAATAAAGACTACAACAAGATTCAGTTGCACTATATGGAATCTTCTGCAGGGAGACTTGTCCTGCATATACTGATGACGTTCTTGTAAAAATACAAAAGAAATGGTCAGACGTTTCAATTTGGCCAAATGGTAGATTACCAATAGCAGGAGAAAATGTAACAATATCTTATGAATACATTATCATTATTGACATAGAATTGCCAGAATTCGATACAATTTTAATTCTAGGAGAATTATGGTTTGATAATGGAAGAGCAGTTACTACAATAAAAGCAAGAAAGATCTTTGTAAGAAATGGTAAATTAGTTGCAGGAAGTATTACTCAAGTATATACTGGTATAATTAATATTATCCTTACCGGTACTTCAAGTGATTATGAACTATTAATTGATAATAATATTGAGGCAGGAAACAATGTTTTAGCTGTTACAGGTGGATTAGAATTATATGGTAAAGTACCATCAAGTAAGGTTGCTAGATTAACAGCAACTGCATCAGCTGGATCTAGTTCAATTACTGTGACAGACACTACAGATTGGTAAGTTGGAGATTGGATTGTTATCTCACCTACAGGTGCCAATCCAGACGAAGCTGAAAAAGTTTAAATTTCTTAAATTGTTGGAACTACAGTAATATTTAGCGTTTCCCTTAAATACAATCATAATGGAATATCAACTAGCACTCTTGTCGATACCAGAGCAACAGTTTTACATTTGACTAGAAATATTAGAATTTCTGGTGCGACTTGGGGAGCTAGAGTCTTAGTATATTCATTTACTGAAAGGACAAGATTAAGAAGAGGATATGTATAATTATAAGGTGTTGAATTCATTAATGTTGGATAAGTGAATAAAGAATTTGCAGGTTTAGATTTCTAAAGTGCTGTTGGTGGTGATCCAGCTCCTTCTAGTGATATTATTGGATGTTCATTCCATGATAGTGATGGTTACTTATTCAAAGTAGAGGATTCAGAATATGTTAATGCCGTCCATAATGTATTTTACAATGGATAAAAAGCCTTGGTTCAATTCATTAATTCCAAATATATTAAATTCTAATATAATACTATGGTATTAGTATAAAAGAGAGTAATTTCAATCAATTCTGCTATAACAGGCACCTATAATTGGGCTGTCTTAGCTTCCTTCAGATATGCTTCAGGCACTAAGATAACAAAGAATTTCATCCTTGTCTCAAATAATGTTGGTATCGGCTCCACTGACACAGGATTCCATATTATGGCTTCTCACTGTGATGATGAATCTTAAGCAGGATTCTTTGCAAACTAATGTTTTAACACAGTATAGGCATGTTTCCATTTAACCTAATCTAACACAAAATGCAATGTTGTTAAACAACTCTAAGCTTATAACTCTGGTGTCGGTGTTATGGCCTCTATTTATACTGAAACCTTTAAATTGAAGGACTTCTAAATCATTGAAGCCGATAGAGGAGTTGTCATCAAACCAGGATCTTCCAACAATTATGCCAATGTCATTTAAGTTTCTAATGGTTATATCGGTGCTGTCTTTGAAGGATTGAGATGCTCTAATACTGTTGCTTTCTAATTAGTTTCTGTCTCCTCAAATGCCTACCCACCTGTTAGTAGATCATCTAATAATGCAGATATTATTAACACAATTCAAAGAATGGATACTAGAGTATATATTGATAATGTCTAATTTGATGGATACAGATTGGCTTATGATCAACACCCATAATGCAGTAATAATGCTGTCTTTAGATAAAATATTTATGCATTGGATGTGGTTGGTCAACATTACTTGACTAATACAATATGTTAAAATTGTGAATTTAATGCATTACTGTATAGTTTGAGAAATCCAAATTATGCTAAATTAGGATGGTATGGAGGTTGTGGTCAAATGGAATGCATTGGTTAAGTTAACTTCTTAATTGAAGATTAGACTGGTAGCTTCTTTGGTGAAAAAGGTTAGGCTATTGGTAATAATTCATATTTCGGTCCAAGTGCAGCATATTGCAGTAGATAAGAATAATGGAATGGATATTGGTGCCCCTTATTTAACATTGGAGTCTTGAACTTCCTTAGCACAGCACCAGATCAAAATTTAAGACTATTTTCACCAACTACTTTAATGGGATCAGGATTCAAAAATATATTGAATGCATTTGCTGAATGGAATTGGAATGGACCTGAACCTTAAAACTCCAGAGAATCCAAATTTGTTGGATTGATTTAAATCAATACTACAATCAATATGACTAATAAGGGAGAGAATCCAACAAATTCAGATTATTGGTTAAGTAAGAGAACTATCGCTGGACCAAATAATGAATGGGTGATCATTGAATTACAATTTGATGTTCCTAATATAGTGTAAGTCAGTGCCGATGGTAAATTAGTTTAACCTGGATTAACAAGAGTAATTTTATAATATAATATTTTAGATTAATTAACATATGAATTTAATGGAATACAC